ATCTGATTCTCCTGCTTCATGTTTGTGCTACCACACCTGGTATGTAGTGCTGGGTACGGAACCCAGGCTTTGTACATGTTAGGAAAGGCCTCTCCAGGGGAGCCACACCCCCAGGCCTCTTCGCTGGTCTTCACAGCATGGACCATCTTCTTGTAGACCCACAAGAGTCAAGATGGGCCATGTGTCCTCTCATCCTTCAGAAACGAACAACAGAGCCCTGCTGAAGCAAGGTCCCTGCGAGACTACCTCTGAGTGGCCGACTAGCCTGCTCTGCAGTTCTGTGACTCACAACTCCTTACAGTGCCTCGACCACAGCTACCTGCTGAGTCCAGGCATCATCCTGCACAGGAATAGCAATGGACCAGAGTGGGGACTTTGCCTTGCTCAGGCTGGCAGCAAATGCTATCGCTGTTAGTGACAGTATCCGTGCTACAAGCCATCTCATCCTTTCTTTTAGGCGTGACTGTGCCCCCTTTGATAAGTGATGAAAGTGGGGTTCAGGGAACTTAAATGGCCTGGCCAATGTCACACAGTGAGGTTCCATTCAGGTTGGGGTCTACCTACTGTTGCTAGTTTGAGCCACACTAGACTTAGACAGACCATCTTTGTGCTGATTCCCTTCTGTATGTAAGGGGTTGGACAGCATGGTCTTCAAAAAAAAAAAAAAAACCCTAAACTTTGGTTCTTTGGTGGGCTAACCCCATCCCTGCTGAGTACCCCTCCACGAACATTCTGCAGCTAGCAACTCACTAAAGAGAGAAGGACAGGTATGTGGCTAGAGGGTCCAGGCCCGCCCCTCTGTGCATATCACACACCCTCTCATAGACGGCTGGGGGCCGCGCATGGGAAACATGCTGCATTCATAGACACGTGAGTGATGGCTGAGGGTCCCACTGTCTAAACAGTTACACACAGGCTGACAGCACTTGGCTTGAATGTCTCAGGGTAGTTAATTCTGTTCTCAGAGTGGCCCAACATGAGAAGACCCTTGAAGACCACAGTGAGTGGTCAGCATGTCGGAAAGGACCTAAACCCTGGTGGGAAGAGACGCAGGGCTCCCTGCAGCTCAGGGGATCCGTCGGATGTGTGGGAGTGCAGGATGCTGGCTGCACTGCTGAACATTCTCTTGGAGGTCTCTGCAGCACAATTACAGTACCATCTCCCTAAAGAATGAAAGCAATGTAAAAACCGAGAGCTCACGCTGTGAGACTTGCTGGTGATGATCATGATGCTCCGGCAGCTTGAGAAGCCAGTCTGGCTAGCTGCAGCTGCAGCAGGACCCGAGGGAGAGGGTGTTGGGTGACCTAGCAGACCCTCTTCTGTCCTCCAGGGACTGAGACCCACAGGCTGGACAGGATGCAAAGATCCTGTCCTGGGGCTAGCCTCGAACCCTCCTGGGCTAGAAAGAGTGAGGAAGGCAAATCAAGGCCTGTGCCTCCTTTGGAGACAGCAAACTCATTCCTGACGAGAGCTGGTCGACTTTGGGGTGAGGTAAAGGTTTTGCAGCTGTGTGTCCATGGTGGGGGGTGGGGGGGGAGTGGTTTGTTCCATCCTGGGTTTTTCCAGGGAAGACAGAGACATGTGGTGGGTGAAATTCGTGGTTCTGGCAGTCTCACACCACGCTGGCTACTCTACCCAGAGCTCACATCTTCCTGAAGGTGAACAAGCCCTCCCCCAAGGCAGAGCAGGGTTCGGTGCCCCAGGGTCACTAGACTGTCTTAAGACACTCCACCCCACAGGCACCTAGAGGGGTGTGGCTGTTGAGTTGCCCCTAGCTTTCTGCTCTGTTCAGACTGCCAGGAACTAGGGACAGACAAGGCCAGGATGTTTCTGCCCTCATAGGGCTAACCTCTAGGGTCAGGGCTTCAAGGGGACAGTAGGTGAACAAATCAAATAACCAAGGTCACAGAGTAGAACACAGTGTGCCTCATATCACTAGGGCACAGGGCAGGGCTGGGAAGGCGGCCCAGGGGCTTTTGGGAGAGGCTGAAAGCTCCTACATCGAGACCGGTAGGATGATTGATGGAGTGGGTCTGAAATGGGAGGGGAGCCGACAGTGTAGACCAGCCTTTGGAGCCTTCCATGATGAGGCAAGAGGAGGGAACGGGAAGGGAGAGAACATGTCACAGGGCCTGGAAAGAGGGTCACGGACACTCGAGGTCCCTTCAAACCAGATGGAACACTAACACATGAAGAGGTCAGGATGCAAGCTGCATCTTTGTTCCCGGACTCTTAAGATCAGAAGGGCCACATGGGGGAGCAGGACAGGGGCAGGCCTGGGACGTAGCTGGGCTCCTGCCTTCTAGTCCCCAGCCCTTGTGCAGACTCTGCCGCCGCCAACCCTACACCCCCAAACAATGCTGAGCATCTCCGGCCAAGGCTTCATTCAGTGTGGATGGCTTCTATTTTTAAGTGGAAAGGGGACAAAGTGGCAGCTGCAGCCTAAACAGGCCTCCGAAAAGTCCAAAGCCAGAGACAGCAAAGGAAGGGTGGACTTGACCGGGCTGTGGAGCCAGCTGCTGTGGAGCCAGCTGCTTCCATCAGAGGCCATGCATAGCAAACCTGCCTGCTTGAGCCTCTGGGACGGTGTAGTCTTGACAACTTTGCCAGGTGGCCTTCGGTTTTAGTGACATGCTTCTTTCTCTGGGTGCATTATCCTTGAGAGCCTGGCATGCTCTGCTCCTCGGGCTATGAACTCCTTGACAGGTGCTACCAAAGCCTCCCCTCTGCAGAGACAGTCTTGTCCTCTTCCAGGCCCACAACATGGTAGTGCTTTGTTCTGGGTCAAGGGCAGAGGGGAAGAACCGTGGTCTGGGGTTTGACATACTGGGAAAGTGTTTGGTAACACCCTAACGTCATGGTGTGGCCAGTGTGACTGTGCTTCTACTGGCTGTGTGTCCTCTACATCAGTCTGCTCAGGTGCCCCTTCTCGTCTCAGCCTGGGCCTCAGACAGGGAGTTCTTTGAGCCTCTGTCCTTACTCGGTAGGAGGACATCAGGGATGGACCCTCACTGGTGTGCTCAGTGGTTTCCTGTCATCTCCAGAAGAACCTACCTCAGTGTCCCCTGCTAGGTCCTAGCAACCCTTTCCTAGCCAGCCATCATCAGAGCCAAGACCCAGGATTAGGTACAGTGTCCATGAGGACTGTCCCCCGTTCTCTGTGGTTTGTGACCACGGACTTGTCTGGATGCCCCACTAATTAGGGGCTCTGCCTCTTATGAGGAGCTGGGGCCTTTTGGTCCTTTGGGAATCGCAGAGCCAGTCACCACTGGAGGTCCCTGAAGTATGACCCCCACAGCATCTCCTGGATCAGGCAAGAACCCCTGTGCATTCCCGGCTCAGCGTGCTGGGCTTCAGGGCACATGGGATGTTGCTGAGTTGCTGACTTGACCCTGCTACCTACCACTGTGATCCACCCCAAAAAAGGAGCTCAAAGGGGCTCAGACACCAGCAGCACATTCCTCCTGTGCCACTGTGGACAGGGAGTGGTGGGGTGTTATCTGGCTGAGCACAGCTGATACGGCCTTCTGGCGAGATGTCACATGCCAACTCAATGGAGGCTTACTGTGGAGAATTTGAGGTCAAGGGTTTAGGCTGAACGAGCTACTATTTATAAAGAGGGGCCTGTGGGGACCAGAAGGGCAGATGAATGCTCGGGTGGGTGGGGGTCAACAGGATAACAGGCCAGAGCAGAACAGAATCAGTCTCCCGGCTACATGCCCCTGTTAGGAGCTCTCCTATCACAACCAGAGTCCCCTTGGTCTGGAGAGACCCTGGTGTGCAAAGAAGCAAAGGAGAGACAGCCTGTTTCAGGGCAGAGGGGCCTCCAGTGGTGACTGGCTCTGCGACTCCCAAAGGACCAAAAGGCCCCAGCTCCTCATAAGAGGCAGAGCCCCTAATTAGTGGGGCATCCAGACAAGTCCGTGGTCACAAACCACAGAGAACGGGGGACAGTCCTCATGGACACTGTACCTAATCCTGGGTCTTGGCTCTGATGATGGCTGGCTAGGAAAGGGTTGCTAGGACCTAGCAGGGGACACTGAGGTAGGTTCTTCTGGAGATGACAGGAAACCACTGAGCACACCAGTGAGGGTCCATCCCTGATGTCCTCCTACCGAGTAAGGACAGAGGCTCAAAGAACTCCCTGTCTGAGGCCCAGGCTGAGACGAGAAGGGGCACCTGAGCAGACTGATGTAGAGGACACACAGCCAGTAGAAGCACAGTCACACTGGCCACACCATGACGTTAGGGTGTTACCAAACACTTTCCCAGTATGTCAAACCCCAGACCACGGTTCTTCCCCTCTGCCCTTGACCCAGAACAAAGCACTACCATGTTGTGGGCCTGGAAGAGGACAAGACCGTCTCTGCAGAGGGGAGGCTTTGGTAGCACCTGTCAAGGAGTTCATAGCCCGAGGAGCAGAGCATGCCAGGCTCTCAAGGATAATGCACCCAGAGAAATAAGCACGTCACTAAAACCCACCGTCCAGTTCACCTGGCAAACACTTTCGAGCCCGCATCGCCCTGCTGGTGGCTGTCCTCACAACTCTTAAGTCTGCAACATGCTGGGTGTGAAGACTGCCTCACGCACCGCCTCCCCATTCATAAGAAACACATCAACGCACGGCACCCAGGAGCAGACAGGGCGGCAGGGACGGGCAGCTCAGCTGCTGTGCCCCCGGTCTGCTCACCACACCTGCCTCATAACTAGCTGTGACAAGAAGGTGTCACTTCTGTTTCTGGAACGACTGAGACATTCCAGAGGGACGTCTCTAAGCCTCTCCCAACTGCACAGTGGCCCTCAGAGGAGCCTGGCACAGAAGCCTGAGGACACGTGGCACAGACACTAAGGTGGAGCTTCTGAAAGGTGGTGACCACATGCCGCCTTTCCCATGTGGAGGGCTCTACCTGGGACGACACTTGGCAGAGTCCACTGGCTTGGCTTCTCTGAGCCATAAAAACTTCTCTGACTGTGACCTGAATAAACCCACAGACATTCTGTACAGAACCAGCCCAAACACTTTAATAGCAGAGAAAAATAAAAATAAAAAACCCGATATGAAATCTGAAAGGAGCGGACAGGCAGTTAGGCGTTGCCGCACTTTGGTCTCCAATGTTTCTTCGTGGGTGTGCGTTTTCACGAGCGTGTTCATCTGACAGCCTGCTCCGGTGTGCTCTCGAGGACGTGCACTATGGGTCACAGGAACCAGAAGAGCTGACGCGGGCTCAGCTTCTCCAGCCACCGAAGCCCTGGACAGACCTGCAGGAAGGGCCCGGGTCAGCTGGTGCTCTAGCTGCACCTGCTCTGGATGAATTCAGGAAGTGCCGAGGATCAACACACAGGCCTGAGTCAGGCCTGGAGCGGGTGGCAGTGGGCTGCCCTGGGGACATGACCAGGGAAGTGAGGCAAGTGTTTCCCAGCCCTGCTTCCCGGAAGGCCAACAGTCCCAAACCCGACACCTGCTGCTCAACCTGGCACTTCGGCACAGCTCTGAAAACAGTAAACAGTAGAGCACACAAGTCCAGCAGGAGTTAAGTCAGACTCAACACAGGAGACAACTACTTACGAGTTAGACGATCCGAAGGTGAATGCTGGAAAACAGAAAGGAGGAGGTTACAGCACAGCCCAGAGCCTGCAGCCAGGCAGGTTCCTTCCTGTTTGGTCCCAGGACAGCCTTCCCCAACCCTGTCTACACGGCGGCTGAAGGCACACTCAGCTCAGCTTTACTGGGAGAAGGGCTGCCTCACTATTTTAGGGGTCCCCAGCTCTGGCTGCAGGTGGAAGGTCTGTGCACAGCCGCCTCGTATCATTTTCTGAGAACAGAGCTGTCTTTGTTTTTATTGCTACCCATCTGTTTCCTTTCCTTTCTAGACCAGAGAAGCAGACACTCTGGGTCTGGCTCAGATGCCACACAGGTCCTGGGCATCAGTTAGCCCTGCAGCCATTTCTTCATTTGTAAAAACCCCAATTCTGCTGAGTTCTATGTGTGCCTCCTCAGTCTATATGAGGACAACACAGGACATCTATCTCTGCTCCTGAAGATGGAGCGTGCTGTACAGACACAAGACACAAAGGTTCCTCCACCCTGCCTTTGAATCCAAAGCCTTGTAAGGCTGCCATTCTCTGGAGTTCTCAAATCCTGAGAGAAAATGAACTCAGTCATTTCTTTGGTCAGAAATGGCACGGGGCTGCCAGTCTTTATAAAGAACCTTGTCTTTTCAGCCATTTCAGCTTTTGAGACACTGAGCTGAGTGTCCAGGAACACCTGTTCTTTCAAAGAACACAGCTGTTTACCTCCTGTGCCTGATCCAAACCCAGAGAAACCACTGTTCTGGGTCCCGAAGCCTGAGGTCTGCTGGGACAAGGACCCGAAGGTGGGCGCGTTCTGACTGGCGAGGGTACCGAAGGACGCAGTGTTGCTGCTGCTCCCGAACCTGGGTTCCAGTGAGAAACGGACAGGGTTAATGTGGCCCTGGGTCCCTGTGCCACAGACATACTTCATTCCCTGTCACTGGTCTTGGACTGAGCCAAAAGACTCCCAGAGAAAACAGGCTCCAGCCCAGAGTAAGCCTTCCGCTTGGCTCTGGGAAGGAAGACATCAGGATTAGGGTGAAATCTGCCCCAGCTGGGGCAGCACTTCTTAGCCACTAAGAACCATACTGGGCTTCTTGCTCCTCTCCTGACACCCTTCACGTTCAGGCCATTAAGTGAGTTCTCATTTCTTCTCCACCTGTTCTGCCCCATTTTCCTGCCCAGTTCATCCCTGGCCTTGATTCTGTCACGGCTTCTTTGTGGATGCTGCTAAGTTGGTCCCAGATGCTCCCCCTGCTTCAGCCTACCAAAGGCTGGTTTCATAAGCTAGTGCCATGGAGTCTGGTGATTCCAATCATTTTTTTGTTCTTTCTTTTCCTGAGACAGGTTCTCAAGCATCCCAGGCTGGCCTTGAATCTGCTATGTTTCAAGGATGACCTTGAACTCCCCCCCCCCCTGCCCATATAGGATCTCTTTATGTAGTCCTAGTTGTTCTAGAATTTGCTATGTAGACCAGGCTGGCCTTGTACTGAGAGAGAGAGTCTCTTGTCTCTGGGATTAAAGGCTTGTGCCACCATGCCCTGTGACCTTCTTATTTCCATCTCTCAGAACTGGGACATTTATCACCACACCCAGTTTCGAAGGTGTGGGACATGAGCCTAGCCAAGGCTTCCTAAACCTCAGCAAGTGCTCTACCATCGAACAACATGCCAACCCTCTACCTGCTTTTTAAAAAGAGTTTGTGTGTGTGTGTATGTATGTAACGTGCGTGTGTGCATGCTGGCATGCAAGGCATGCTAGCGATACAGTGTGTGTGGTGGTCAGGGACAACTTTCGAGAGGAGGGTCTTTCCTGTTATCATGGGTTTGAGGCATTAGTTCCATGGCAAGTGCTTTCCTAACCAAGCCCTGTCACTGACCTGTTTGCTTCTAATGAATGGCAAGGGGTATTCTATACACAAAGGCGGTCATCTGTTCACACTTCGCGCGCGTGTGTGTGCGTGTGCGATTTTCAACTTACTTCACTGAGAATTTTGTTTGTTTCATAAAAATAAATAAATAAATACACAAAACAATGTAGAAACAACATCATTTTCTTTCCTCTGTTACCTCACATAGGACAATCCTCACTCAAGGGTTCTCCCTCCAGATTTGGTCCAGTAAATGGGGTTGAGTATATAACTAAAATCACTGAGGGGTTCAGTGGGGGCCTCATAGAGAAGGTGGGCAGGGCAGAGTTAGTGTCTTGGGAGACGAGCCAGGACCTGGGTAAATGCCTACATTACAAAGGGGACCCAGCAGTTCCCAGTCCTGTATTCCTATTTGAGGGTGACCTCAGCTCTTTGACAGGGTCAGAGTTAGGATGGCACCAGGGATGAGGCAGATCAGTTGCTTCTTTCCAGGGATTTAATGTCTGCATTGGTGCTTACTAGCCCTAGGAAATGTGCCAGCCAGTTATGGTTCCTAAGATATTCCAGACACTCTCCAGCTTCCTGGGTGTGGGGATCAGCCTCAAGTGTCATGCTTTGGGAGCTAGCCACTTTGATTCTTGAGACAGGATTTCACTGGAGCTGCGATTCAGTGTGTTGGCAAGCCCCAGAAATGGGCCTCTTCATGCAGGAATCCCAAGCGAGCCTGCATGCTCAGCTGATGGTGGTGGTGAGGACTGAACTAAGGTCCTCTATCTTTGTGGCCAGGACTTACTGACTGCACCATCTCCCCAGCCCTGCTTTTATTCCTCGACTATTACTATTTTGGGACAGGGTCTTGCTGTGTAGCCTCTGCTGGCCTCCGAGTCCACACCCTCCTTCCTCAGTCTCCTGAGTGTGCATATGCTACCCATATGGGGAAAGCTAGCTCTTTGAAGGCAGTGCTGGACATTCACAACTGTGAGCATGCTCAGCAAGTCTCTACCACTGAGCTACATACACTTAAAACTCCAGAGGAGTTTCTCTAATAATAAAGTTAATAGCTGCTTTGAAATAAATACACAAAGCCTTAAGACTCCCAGTGTATACAGATGGGAGTCCATCCAGACCTGTGGAAAACACAGGCTTAAGGGAGGCTCTGAACTCTCTTCTGAAAGAAGTTCCCTTTAACTGTGTTCTTGGAGTTTCCCAAGGGGAAATGTTCAAGGTCCCTTAGGCTTCACAGAAATCTAAGGAATGCCATTCACTTGAATATTCTCCTTGAGCAGTCTAGCACCCCTCTGTGGAGCAAAGTTTGGTAAGAGCATGCTTTATTTTCAGGATAAACACCCATGTTACTTCTAACCTTCGGCTCTGAGCTGAGCACCAAGGGTGAGAGCATGTCCGGGCCATTTTAGGCATCAGCATTTCTTTCAAATGAGGGATTTTGCAGCCATCACCACACAATTAATGGTCTAGCAAAGGCTATTTCTTTCCTCGGGGTTTTGGCAACCAGACTAAAATTCTAGGGCCTAGAGGCAAAGCCCTGCCATGGCATTTTCTGAGGTGGAGGAGGAGGCTGTGTGCAGGACATGAGGACAGCAGCAGTGCGGAGGTCACCCAGTTCTGGGTCGGGCTGGAGCAGGGGACACAGGAGTTGTTTGTAAAGGCTAACAGGCATCTCAAGAGAACAATCCTAAGAGGAAGATGTGGTGAGGGCTCTTTCTGCAGGACTTTCTAACGTAAGGGCCACCCGAGCCATAAGCCTGGCTCAGAGAACAAGGTATCAATGACCTGCATTGGCAGCCAGCAATGTGGCCAACAGCCGCCCACATGTTTAAGAATCTACTTACAATGAGTCTTGTCCTAGAGAAAAAAGGAATCTCCTAGCATCATTTTTGCCTACTTCAATGCAAGGCCTCCAGGTCTCCGTCTGGTGTGGAGAATGTAAGAATTCCAGGCCCCAGGGCTTCGAAGGGGCTGCCACAAGTCTGTCGTCCCCGGTCCCGCCTGCAGCTTACCCGAATCCTCCTGTGCTGGCGGCCGCAGTGCCCTCTCCGAACACTTTGCCTCCCGTCGAGCCCAGAGGGCTTGTAAAGGCTGGGGCTGAACCGAATGCTGGCACCCCTCCAAACCCAGGGGATCCCCCAAAAGTAGGAGGGCTGCCAAACACTGGAGCAGCACCGAAGCCACCTGAGCAAAACAGAGGCAAACAGAACAGGGGAGAAAAGGAGACAGGAAGAGAAGGCATCGAGCAGCCGGAAACCAAATCAAAAGAGGAGAGAGGGGATACGCCGTCAGTAACTCCAACACCGGAACCCAAGAAGCCCAGCTCCCCAACCTCTACCCCTCAGCGGCACTGCCTCCCCCTAAGCGAGGGGTCTGCAGCACTAAGGTCGGAGCACCTGCTGCCTTCCTGAGGCTCATGGGACTTGAAGTCCTGTGAGAGCAAACCATCTCCCAGCTCTCGAGCTCGGTGGGCCCATCCCGGGTTCCTGTCCAGCCCCAAAGCTTGTGTCCCAACATAGCAGTCACAGGATTTATTATTTATTACCACACAGACCAGGCTCCCGGCTTCAGGGAGACCCAACTAATCAAACTGGAGGCTCCAAGTCGCTTTCCTGGCAGAACCCATAAACTGGGTCACAGCAGAAGCAGGGGATGCAGGCTGGCGCTTAGCCGCATGCATTTTATTTATTTACAGCCAGGTGGCCGCACGCCTATTGCGGTGTCCCTGACATGAGGTACAGGAGACTGTTTTCTTTTTTTTTTTTGGGTTTTTTCGAGACAGGGTTTCTCTGTGTAGCTTTGCGCCTTTCCTGGAGCTCACTTGGTAACCCAGGCTGGCCTCGAACTCACAGAGATCCGCCTGGCTCTGCCTCCCGAGTGCTGGGATTAAAGGCGTGCGCCACCAACGCCCGGCTTAGGAGACTGTTTTCAAGTGCTTTCTTTCTGTACCATCCCTACAAAGCACACTGACCCTCCACTTTGAGGAAGGCTATGGTGTGAATTTAACCAGGTGTTAAGTCAGCTGTGAGGATGGCCCGAGTGCCCACCTCAGGACTCCAGATTATGACCCAGGACACAACAGGCAGCAGGGTGGAGGTGTGAGGAGACATGCCGAGACAATAGAACAGGGTCAGGTTAAGCACCAGGCAGCCTCCTCTGACTGGTGGGGAGGACCATGTGTGAGTCAACCCCTGCTCCTGAGATGTCTCCAAACCTCCAAGATACTGGTCTAGTTCTGAGACTAAGAGGAGAAAGGTAAAGAGGATATGTAGAACCGGATGGAGACGCTAGGCTCTTTACTGGGGGTGGGGCACTCCTTCCTGTTCATCTAAAATACATGTTGGCTTTGAACTCTGTGCTAAAGGGAGTAATGGGGGGCCCAGACCACCATGGATATGATCAGGGTTGTTATTACTGAAAGCAATCTAGTGTCCAAGAGACGGATCTGGCTTTACTGTAATCACCGGACAGACGGCCTCTGCACCCGGACCAGGAGACATCGAATATAGGGCACGAAGGCGGTCAAGTGAGCATGCTGGCTGGTGCCTGTGACTGAATTCTATGTCTATCTTTCAGAGGGGCTGCACAAGTGAGGAGATACCTTTGCCATGGCTCATGTTTGGGTCACCATTCTGTATTTTAAAACCTGGAGTGAAATTCCAAGCTGTGCTACCGAGCCTGGAGGACTATAAACGTGAACAGAACGGAAACAAAGTGCTAACCCACTGCATTTTAATTATTTAAGACTGGTCATGGGTCTAACTGCATCTCCTTCCTAGACAGACACGGTTTCATCTAGCACCTCGGACTCAGTAGTGTTAGACTTCCTGCTGGAATGTGAGTGAAAAATGAGAGGTTATAGTGATACAGAAAGTAACCTGGAAAGGAGCAGGTAGAAGAGTAAACAGACGGAGGCAGGCAGACAGACAGACAGACACTCACTCACATACACACAGCTAAAACAGACCTGGTCCACTAAATGAAATAGAATGGCTGCTCTCGCCTTAGTTCTGGGGACAGGCAGCCACTCCAAACAGGAGGAGGAGTTGGGCTGCAGACAGCCGCGTGTCTGAGCTAGCCACCAAGAAGCAGATTTACTGGCGCACACTACGGTCTCTGAGCCTCAGGTGTGGTGGCAGCTGCTTCCCGGCAGCCCCCGTCCTTTCCTTGATAGCCTGGCCCCTTCCTCCAGTAGGACACTGAGTTCTCAGGATGTTTTCATGTAACTTCAGCACGGGTAGATGGCAGAGCTGGGATTGGAACCTCCCATGGACCTGTCATGTGTCCCCGCTTCCTCTGTCACACTGCTTCATAACTGACAATGAAACAGGTGTAGACCCAGGGCTGCTGGAGGGAGGCCACAGTCAGCTTCAGATCTCCTGTCCTGTTCTTGGTGGCCTCTAGCAGTAGTTCTGATGCAGTTTCACTAAAGGGAGAGCAGACACTTAGAAAGCACCTACGTGTATAACAGAAGGTAAACTGCCCATCAGAGTCCTCACTCTGGGTGCGCACCAAACAGAAAACCCAGAATGAGGAGAAGGACAGAGACACAAAACCATCATGCTCTCAAGTAACACCAGCTGGGACACAGTTGGGAGCACAGAACCACACACCAGACAACAGAAGAAGGGAGGGACACCGGGCACCTGAGAAGATGGGAAAGGCTCGAGGTTACAAAGTAAGGCTTCTCAGATTGGGGCAATTCTAGCTGTGCTAGGAGGCCCCTGCTCAGGAGTCGCCCACCCTGCTTGGTGGTTTTTGAGAAAAGTCACCAAGCCGGCTATGCTGACTACTGAGACACCGGTAGCATCAGCCCTACACTTGTCCTTTTAATGAGAGCTGAAAGCTTTGTGGTTTTTCCATTTTGAAATGTGTGTGTGTGTGTGTGTGTGTGTTTCTAGTCCCTTTTTTAAAAGCTAGGGGAAAGATACCAGGACCAAGCTGTCAAGCTAAGGTCTTAGAAAACAGACACAGCACACAGCTACAAGTCAGTGCATTTCAGGGTCACCTTCTAATCTGTGCCAGCCACTCTAAGATCAGCGTCACCTCCTCCGACAGGACAGGAGACTAGTCAAAACATCCTATCTCTCTGACCCCTCCCAGGGGAGTGTGCTCTCGAGAGGCTTCTCTCAGCAAGCACCATCCCTGCCCCTCCTGAGAATCGTATTCCGGTCTCCCACCAGCAGGACCAGCACTGCAGGTAGCTGCAGACCTCAGACAGCGGGTGACAGAAATTAGCAGCATGCTTTATGGGGCAGGAGAGATGGCTATCAGTTAAGAGCAGTGGCTGCTCTTCCAGTTCCTGGGTTCGATTCCCAGCACCCATGTAACAGCTTACAAGCCAGTTTCAGGGAATACAATACAATAACCTCCAAGAGTACCAGGCATGCACATGGTGTACAGACAAACATGTAGGCAAAACACCCACATACATAAAATAAGTAACTATTACACAGCACACTTCATATTAATGCATACTGCTCTTTTAAGACCTTTATGAAAAATGTGTAAAAAAATATTTAAAAAAGTTTATAGAGGTATATATATGTTTGTTTGTTTGTTTGTTTGTTTTGAGACAGGGTCTCTCTGTGTAGCCCTGGCTGTCCTGGAACTCACTCTGTAGACCAGGCTGGTCTTGAACTCAGAGATCCATCTACCTCTGCCTCCTGAGGGCTGGTATTAAAGGTGTGCGCCACCGCCAACTGGCTACAGATGTGTATTCAAATAAAAGTTTAGAAAGAGTGGCACAGACCCATGATCCCAGTCCCCAGGCAGCTGAGGCTGGAGGATCATGAGCTTTGCTTATATAGGGAGAGACCATCTCAAAAGACCAAACTCAAACAAAAGCCCACACAGGGACGTGGCAAAGGGAGAGGTGCCGCGAGGAGGAGGGTCCAAGCCTTGAGCACTGGGGGACCCTGTGCTTCAGGAGGCTCCACAGTGAACGCTTTCATTATCTCCTGCCGGGTTTCCCTATTGTTTTCTTCTTCTTCTGAGGAAGGGTCTCACTATGTAGACCAAGCTGGCCTCAAACTCAGAGATCTGTCTCCCCCTGCCTTCCAAATGCCTGTAAAGGCATGTACTGCCATGTTGAAATAATTGGTTTTTCAACAATTATTAAATATTTTGATAAGTCTTCCATGAGAAGATTAAATTCTTTTAAGTGCTATACTATATACCTCCTGTTTGTGAAAGAAAAATTGTTTTATTTTTGTAGACAGGGTCTTACTATATAGCCCTGGCTGGCCTGGAACTCACAGAGAACCGCCAACCACCTGCCTCCGCCTCTGGAGTGCTGGGATTAAAGATGCGAGTCACCACTGCTGGCTCCTCTTTTTTTTAAAGTATGTCTTATGTGTTAAAAATGCAGTAGATGCTCAATAAATACACAAATAACCTGGAGAACAAATTAACTTCCTCCTTACTGCAATCCCCTTCCCTTGAGATAAGCACCCAGGACCTCCCAGAGGTCTATCTTACATACGCTCTCAAGTGCATGTATGTGTGTGAGCACATAAACTCACACACACAGATGAGCATGGGTCATACTTGTGGGGTACCTGTTTTATTTGGAGTGGAAAATCCAAAGCCTTGGGATGCTACACTTCCACCGCCAGAGCTGAAAGTGCCAGCAGGCTTCTGTTCCCCGAAGGATGAACTGCTAAATGCTCCGAATGTCTTAGCGCCACTGTTTCCAAACAGATTAGAGGTATCTAAAGGGACAAAGAACAGGTGTGAGGGAGGCTGAAGAGGAGGGCAATGTCATTTCCTTCTCAGATGGCGGAAGGGAGACACATCCGATGAGTGTCTGGAAGACAGGAGCCATGGTGCAGCCCAGCATCGAGGGGAGTTCATATGAGTGTAAAATACTGGCACTCAGGCACAGGACTTCCTGGCATAGCTCTACAAGGGGAAAGGGCAATAGAGCCCCAGGGTAGGGTTCCTAGAGGTCTTGGCCCACCCACTAAAGATTGATCCTAGTCAAGTTGCTTGCCTCCTTCTGGACAAGGCCTGGTCTCGGTTTCTCATGGCATTAGAAGAATCAAAGCCAGAGAGTCTGGCCCAGCACAGGGGCTGCCAGCATGCTGGCTATTGTCTGAGCTGTGCAGGGTCCTGCCACTGCTCTCTGACCTGTGGGAGAGAGGAGTCAGGAAGAACCCCAGTGTCCTTACAGTGTTTGATGACTACTCTGTCACAACCATGACCAGGCACGGGCAGCTGCCTTGACATGGGGAAGGGACTACTGCCCCAAGACACAAGCTTTAGTCCTCGCCCAAACTCGTGACGACCACATGCCTAACAGAGTTGAGCATGTCACCAAGCAAAAATACAAACGTGCCCAGGTCCAGCCTTTCCCCACCACCAGGTGTCCCTGGTGCAGGTGATGCGAGGAGGTGGGGCTCACTGACAGTCACCTTCAAAGCTGAGCTGCTGGAAGGGTTGGCCCACCCGAACCCACAGCTTGTTAGGTCTCTTGTCACCCTCTCCTACAGCCCGATTAATAACATCTACTGAGGTGCTCCTGAGCTAAGCTGGGGAGGGAGCGGTCTCATCCTAGGCATATGGTCATCTCCAATTTCTAGGTACCACCAACGCACAGCCACGAGGGCCGAGCATGTCTGATCCTGAGAGCAAGACGGCTAGAATCCACTCTAGCTCCTTACGGTGGGCCAAACAGATGGCTGTGCTCTGAGCACTAGGCTCTTCCCTCAGGCGTTGAGAAAGGCCACCTCTGATTCCCTCTAGGGCAGTGCATCCCTTTACTTGTTATTTCAGGAGCCTACTCCAGCTTTAATCTCCCGACCCAAGTAGTACCAGCAACATAAAACTTCAAACAGCAATTTCAAGGACAAGATTAGGGCTCTCCTCGAAGTGAAATGTGACTACAGGAAAAGTGAAATACAAAGACTTTAATGAGACAATGTTAGGGGATACCCCGAAACCTTCATCCTGTTCTCTCTTTAAGAATCTTTGTCAAATGAAGCCTGTCTCACAGACAGGCTTCATTGCAGCTCTGTTCACAATAGCTAAGAAATGAAAACAACCCAAGTGCCCATCAACTGAGGAACTGATGAAGGAAACAGTGTACAATCTATTTAGCCACAAAAAGGATAAAATCCAGTTGATTGCATCAACATGGATGAACATGGAGACCCAGTTAAGTGTAACAAACTTAGCTGAGAGCCAAGCACCCCAGGGTCGCAGGTGTGGGATCCTAACAGGTGGGCCCATAGTAGGTGAGAGAGAACAGGATGGCGGCTACCAGAGGCTGCGGAAGCAGGGACATGGGAAAGGTCAATTGTTAAGAGCCGGCTAGATGGCCTGGCGGTAAAGGTACCTGCTGCCACGCCTTACAACCTGAAGTTGATTCTTGGGACCCACATGGTAGAAGAATCAACTCTTGAAAACTGTCCTCTAGCCTGCACTCCCAGGCGGCTGCTGCGCGCGCGCACACACACACACACACACACACACACACACACACACACACACACACTAAATAGATGAAACAAAGAAACACATAGGAGGTAGCTGTTCTGGGGTTCTACTGAAAAGCAGGGGACTATGGGTAATAGTATGCACAGTTTCTTTTTTTAAAGCTAGAAGGATTTTTTTAAATGTTTTCACCATTAAGGAATGGTAAATGTTTAAGAAGACATTTCTCCTTGAATGTTAACATATGTGTAGACACATACACATAGATGTACACATGTACACGGTGACCAATGTGGTAGCAAGAATTTCTACCCAAAAGCTGGGAAAGTTTTAAAAAAGATTCTAAAAATGGAGCTAAAAACAGATTCCTAGTTGCATCTCTCAGGCAAGCCATGCGATAAAGCGGTGCTGCGGCCTGCGGACTTGAGCTACAGCATGATGGTTGTGCGGCCTGTGGGCATGACCTACAGCATGGCGGATTCCTGCCATGGTACACAAAGGTGTCTCCAAGTCAAGGAAGCATGGTGGATTTAACTTTTGCTATTACAGACAGAAAAAAAAAAAAAAAATAGGTTTCTGGGCTACACGCTGCTGGATGGAGGCATAGGCCCACAGCTTCTCAGACTCGATGGTGAGCATGGATCCCAGAGCTGGTGGTAAATATACCTCTGCCATGTTGGGAAGCTGAGGTGGGCAGAGGCAGCAGCTAGGTCCTAGCCATACTACAGTTTAAATCAATGGTCAAAAAATGATTCACAATAAGACAGATTCAGATGGAATAAAATAGTGTACAGTGTGTGTAAAAATGTGCGTAGACTTGAAAGAGAGAGGAAAAGGATTATAGACAGTTATATAAAGAAACAAATAGTTTTAAAAACTACAGTCTTTAAAGAGACAGTAAGAATAATATGAAAGTTATACACAAGGATGGAAATTACACAAAGAATCTGGATACTGCATATTATTACATTGTTTTTTGGGTTTTTAACTGCAGAGAGACATCTGATTGTAGGAACTACCAAGTTAAACCAATATGTATATTTTAAAGGTATCTTGATTTCAAAATTCGTGCCTAAGGGTATGTTGCTTTGGAAAAGAGGTTCTGCTTTTGTTTCCACAGAAGATGAGAACCTACGGATTGCTTCCAGGCTAATACGGTTTGATCAACCAAGACCCCCTGAAAAGTTGATACAGCTTCACAGACTACTACAGTCAAGATTTAACTATAATTCTTAATTTTCTCAGGATCCCCATAAGATTGCCAGCGCCCCCAACCAGCAGAAAGTAGTATGAGAAGTTATACCCAACTTCCCAAAATATTGTTTATAAATGTTTAGTTTTATTTAAAGGAGGTTGATTATAAATGTAATCTCTTTCTAAAGAAAAGGGAATATAGATATGATAGGATAAAAGGGTAGGTTATTGAATCTATTTTTAAAGATCGACAACTTGTTTGAAATGTTTTACATTGCTATGGATTTTAGTTTATTGACACAAATTTAACGTTAATTTTTTTATACTGTATGTACATTTCTATTCTTGTTTAAGGTATTATGTTTATGCAATTCCTTTAAAATTGTAAAATATAATTAAGAAACACAGATCAATAGTCATCCATGATTATCAAACTTACAGTTATGTTAGTTAAGATTTTTAGTTATACAAAGGTATATATCAATTAGGTAAGTAATTTTCAAACACTTAAAAGACCTACAGAATATGGCATTTAAAATGTTATAAGAACTTAGACTTTTCTGGACAGTGAGACACGTCTGCTCCTGGCAGCACCAATTACTTCAAAGAGGATGATGGGCATTGAAGAAAATTGTTATGGAGTTTGTTTTCTTGGTGGCAAAAGTTAGCCACTGGGCAAAAAAGTGCCCTTGCCTCGACTGCTTGACAATATGTTGTATAAAATGGACATGCAAGACCCATAGGAAGGTGACCACTGAACTCTGCAAGATGAGATGGTTCTTCAGGTTCCTGCTTTGCAGAAGAAACTGCCAGACATACTAAGGGTCATGGGGAGAAGCAACTGACAAACTTTGCCAGAATGGGTGGAAAAGCTCTTAGAATTTCCTGCTTCACTGAAAGCTATGCCAGAGACTCTAGGCCTGTAGACTGAAGACAGATGCCCCAATGTTACAGAGGAACTTTGGATGACTGTCCAGGCAGCCAGATGTTTCTGTCATTTCTAGAATTATGGAAGTTGCTTGCAATGTACTTCCTGTTTACTTAGGTAATATTGCATCCTTCTGGGGTCTTCGATGTAGTAGAAGACCAGATAGTACAAACAGACTAGATACTATAACTGTAATCCTTGCTTGATAACTGTTTTATTCTATGTAATTTTGCCATGTCAAAGTCAAAACCTTCCTTTCTGATTAGACAGAAGAGGGGAAGTGCTGTGGGATGTCTTTCTGTATGCTGTGAATATGTGTTGCTCTGATTGGTTGATAAATAAAGCTGTTTGGCCAATGGGGAGGCAGAATAAGGTTAGGCGGGACATTTAAACTGAAGAGACGGGAGAAGAAAGGAGTGAGAGGAGACGTCAGCCCGCTGCCGAAGGAGCCACATGCCAGCAGACTGGTAACACCACAGCCATTTGGCAACATATAAATTAATCCTGAGCCATAGGCCATACAGTTTGTAAGTAATATAAGCCTCTGTATATTTACTTGGGACCAAGTGGTGGGAGAGATTCTTCTCGACCACAGGGCCGGGCAGGACCGAAGAAACTTCCAGTTACATGCACATGCTATATACATACATAGAGACATCACATGATACCCATCAGTATATACATTTTTACATAAAGATCCTTTCATCCTCCATTATAGTGTAACAGACTGAGGTTTGCCACCAGGCCTAGACTAAGAACTGGATAGCTCTGTGACCTCAACCAAAGCCTCAGCTACCCTAGGTCAGCGTTCCCTGACACCACCCAGGACAACAATTCTGACTGTAGAGGCTCTGAAAAACTGCAAAGACTCCCTGTTCTTCTTTCACCTGTAGCTACCTCTCATCACAGTCAACACAGAGCAGGTGCAGGAGATAAGGATGACACCATTCACATCGCAGTCCTACCATTCAACCCCATTGCTCTGGAATGTGGCACTGGCCTATCTGTGCCTCACATTTCTGTGGCCAACAATGTTTCTTGATTCTCTCCTAATGGCTCCACATTAGTAGTCGGCAGCATAATTTACTGACTTTCTGTGTATGCACGTGTGTAGGCATTCATGAGCCATGGCACAGAAACACTGGTCACTTCCTTCTCCCCACCATGTGGGTTCTGGGTATCAAACTCAGGATGTTGGCCTTGGTGGCTTGGGCCTTTACCCTCAGTCCTATCTAACTGGCCTATATTTTTTTTAAGACAGGGTCTCAAGATGTGGCCCTGACTGGCCTAGGACTTGCTCTTAGACCTGACTGGCCTTGAACTCAGAGATCCACTTGTCTTTGGGATTAAAGGCATGAGCCAACACAACTGGCTGTCGGCTTAGCTTTTAAAAACATGCTAACTACGGGCAGTGGTGGCACACACCTTTAATCCCAGCACTCAGGAGACAGAGCCAGGCGGATTTCTGTCAGTTCCAGGCCAGCCTGGTCTACAGAGCGAGATCCAGGACAGGCTCCAAAACTACACAGAGAAACCCTCTCTCCAAAAACCAAAAACCAACCAACCAACCAACAACATGCAAACTAAATGTACTGGTGCGTGGAGTATGTTTCATTGTAGAAGAGTCTTCACTTCTACAGGATTAGCCAGTCAGAAAATACTCTCTGTGGAGCTAACCAAGGACTAATCCTTTGGGATAAAAAGACAGGGAAAGTTGGCACCTGCTCAGGGCTGCCTTCCTGCAGCCTCATACAGGTCCCCTTTAATTATGTACTTGGCAAAATCACTAACAACATCCAACATCAAGGTCTGAGGTCACAGAACACAGGTCTGATGCACTTGGAGGGCTCTCACCCAGGCTCCACTCCAGGGTAGCTTCCAGAGGAACAGCCATGGAGGGAGCCTTCTGCAGGCTTGAAACAAATGACTCCCCCATTTTAACACAAATATCCTTCAGGTCCCTAAAGAGAAAAAGCATGTAGAGGATAAAGCTAACTCCATGTCAGCATGAGACTTGGGGGGGTGGTAACAGGTCCTTCTGGGTGACAATGTACACACAGGGTGCTGAGTTTCAAATGACCAGAGTTAACAGCCTGTCTTTGGTGGAGTCTCTGGGGATGAGAGACTTCTCAAAAGGGAACATGTCAGCTTCTGGCTACAGTGTCTTTCTTGGTCACGGCCACAGTTTTCATGCAGCCTGGACTCTAAGCATGAAGTGAACTTGGATTCTATCCTCCAGTTGGTAGGAAACTGCAAAAGGGTTCAGCAGAGGAACTATGGCAAAATAAAAGCAGCTTAAAAATATTTGATTTGAGGTGGATTTCCTGACCATGGATAAGAAGACTGGAGGTGGGAGGAGGTCATGTGCAGACCCCTTCCACAAACCAGGTGACTGGTGACTGGGGACACATGGGGACACACACACACACACACCACACATGGCCCCCAGCAATGGAGATAAGGCATCGGAAAAGGACCTATATGAGAGGCACGCAGGATTCCGCCCAGGAAAGCAACAGTACTCACAAGTATCGGGTGCCGGAGTCAGCATAGAGAAGGACAGTCACTGAGGCTACAGAAAGAAGGACAGTGCCCTTCTCTGTAACACAGCCCATCTCCTCTCCTGTTCCTGCCTCTCCCTTAGCCTGCACTTACCTGGTCATAGGGTCTCCTCACTGTTAAACCATGAAAAAATCATTAGGACCACTAGTGTGGTGTGTGGTACTGAGGACAGGCAAGTGTTTAACAAGCACCTATGGACAGGAGAGCCCTGGAGTGCAGTGCTCTCTCATTCATTCCTACGGGACCGACACTCCCTCCGCCTGACTTCAGGCACTGAAGTGGGTGTGGGGAGGGATGTGCAAGGCTGACTCTCAGGAGCCAGTGCACACCAGCTCACACTGACCTCTGGGGAAGGCCAGCTGACAAGTAGAAGCTAGGGTGTCAGAGGCCAATTTTTACAGGGATAGGACACATCTAAGCCATTAACAAAACTGGCTGGTAACACAGGCCTCACAGATGATGACCTACATCTGGGATCCACCCCAATTTCTAACCAGTATGTCAAGTGACTATGTGCCAAGTGCTGTGTTTGGCATGTTACATGTATGTGAGCTGAACTCCACATCTGCTGTTTCCTTGATTTGATCTGAAAGGACCATGCTTTTACAGCATTTGCTGCACAGAGCCCATCAGTGAGCGCTGCGGACAGGCAGTCAAAGCGTCCGTCACAGCAGGTTCTCAGCCCGTCTTGGCATGCCCGTTTTTGTTTTGCTTATCAGGATTCTGTTGTCTGTCTGCAAAACACGTTTTGAAAACATGATTTCTGAGATCCCTTCAGTCTGGGTTCTAAGTCCCTCCTGGAGTGGCCTGGTGACTGAGGAGGGAAATGCCTTGACAGCAATCCAGCCACCTTTCTAGAGCAGAGACATCGGAATAACCAGTGCTTGAGCTATACAGCCAGAGAACAAAACTGAGACAGAAAACATTGTTCTTAATTCCACAGGCCTGAAAATTATGAGAACAGCCAGAGGATACAAGTGCAGGATTCACTGCCATCTTGTACAACCCAACGGAGCGAGCGCATTAAGGCGGGGATGACAGGAAGCCACCTTGTAATCCTAGCCGCAGCAGCAGTATATACCCTCTTACACTTTCAACTGTGACAGACAGACCAACGCACAGCCAGAAGGATTAGCAGGGGAACAGAGTGCTAGGAGGTTCAGCTTCAGGGGAAAGGCGGCAGAGGTAAGTGATGAGAAACATGCAGGCTGGAGCCAACTGCCCGCGCACTTCAGCGTCTGCGAGCCAGGCGGCAAGCGGAAGCACTGGGAGCAGCACTGTGGGGCTGCTTCCGGCTGCTGTCTGCCCACACTGCCTTCACGCAATCTCAGCACAGGAGACAGCCAGCTGGGCCTCGGGAGAGAAGGGAGCAGCAGCAGCAGCCCATCACACTCGGCTCTCCGCAGCTCTGCTGTCCTTTCAGACTGCAGAGGCCACCTCATTAAGACAAGAATAAAAACCAAGCAGAGCAATGTGGGTGGAGCTCAAACAGACCCTCGCAGGCGTTGAGAATACCACAGGATGACACTGGCATCAGAGGACCAAGGGCTGGGAAAACTCAACTTACTTGGGGTGGCTGTAGATCCAAAGCCCCCACTGGCTGAGCTGAATGGGTTTTTGTTGGCAGCATCCTGGCTGGGTTTTCCTCCAAGGCCACTGAAGAAACCGCCCCCTCTTGCAGTGTTTCCAGACCCAAACAGGCCACCACTGGAAGTAGATGACTGCTGAAAAACAAATGGGGGAGGGGGAAGAGGAAGCAAGAAAGGATGAGAGATCCTTGTCAAAGTGCAGTCTCCACCCTGGCAGGAGGGCACAGCTGATAGGGACGGAAAAAGCAAGAGTACTCGTCAGTTCTGGAAGGAGCACTCCAACAGCCCTAGAGAGGCTGATTCCGGAGACTTCCTATAGATCTGGGGTTCCTGGGTTACTGCACTCAGAGTAGGTGGGTGCTCAACACTGATCTACCCAGCTGCCCATGCTGTCTGACTCCACCCCAGGGCCAGGAAAATCAGGCATCACAGATCTACCAAATGCCAAGTTTGAAAACAGGGTGGAGCCACCATGCCTTCAGATTGCCCTAGTGTTAGCTGAAGTCATCAGCAACGATGAAGTGATTTACAGGCATTTCTATCCATTTCTGCACTTGTAATTCACAACTACGTGCCAGGGCTACAGAGGGAAGCCTAACAGCCCCATTGCTGAAATGATGACCACTGTTGAATTCCATCCCAGGACTCACAGGACTCTGCTAACTCAGGGCTGCAGCAAGCACCACACATTCACTTTCTGTTTAGAAACCGGCCCTTTTAGGGAGACCAGCTTGCGGTTTGAGGGGCTGCACATGTTAGTTAAGCTGACATCTCCTTGGCTGATAATGCAGAATAAGATAGGCTTTAAGGAAAGGGCAGTAGTGCAGAGGAAGGATGGGGCCATATGCCGAGGACACACAGGTGCTGCTGTGCCTCCTGTGAGACAGAAAAACTGCCCACTTCAAAATGGCGGGAAGGAGCTGAGCCGTAGAACTGCACCTGAGTGCTTGCTTGGGTAGCATATGTACTAAAATCAGGACGATACAGAAAGACTAGCGTGGCCCCCGTGAAATGAGGACACACAACATTGTGAAGTCCTCTATTTTTTTAAAGAACTGAACCTGAAACACAAGCCCTACTCAGAAATGGCTCCGTCACTCCCTCCCGAGCACCAGAGCTTCCCCACAGCTTGGGCTCATCACGCAGCACAGCTTCAACGCCACCCTCCTGTCCCCATGCTGGTTTGGGCCTGTGGTCAGGCCAGTCCACCTTCAACACATCCTGTGCTTGTCCAACACCGGGCCAACCCTTCCCTTCTGTTTACAGGAGCTCTAGGCCCTCGGCAGCATCGAGCACGCTCCTCCCTGCTGTCCCCACACAGAAAACTAAGTTTAGACTTAGGGTAACACACTTAGTCTGCTGGATCGTCCCCCACTTTAAACTTTAAAAATGCAATAGTGGATAACCAGCGACAGCCTCTGCAAGGACAGGAACCATGACAACTCAGTGTCCAATGCATGGAGTGTTCTTAACCTCTATCAGACACAGGAAACCATCACGGATGGATGTTCTGCCCTAGAAAACCCAATACTCTCAACACAGCCTGAGCTGGCCACCCACAGAATGAGCAGAAGTGGACAACTAACCCTAACCCAAGTGAGTGGGATCAAAGTCCACAGCCAAGTTCCCTTAGCTCTGACTTCTGCCTCCAAATCATGCCTGCTTCTGAACCCGCTTCTCTGCTGATCCACCCCCCGCCCCCCGCCAGGACTCTCTCACCAACTCTCCAGCACATGGCTAACTACCGCCCTCGTCCCGGCCCCAGAGCTGACCCTCCTCAGCTGACGGGCTGCATTATAAACGGTTACGGGGCTGCTCACTCTACTTGTGCCTTTCTCGGATGTGCACACGCACATGCTTTGCTTCCTGCCCTGTAGCCCAGGCTGTCCCACCTCCCAGTGCTGGGGTAGCTCACCTGGCACTTTCCCTTATATACTGAACCCTGTACTAGGACAGCAGTGATGGAGGCACCCTTGTGTCCTGGAGAGGGGTGCACTCTGGTCCTCAGACCAGGAAGGGTGTCTACTTCCGGGTGCTGTGCTCACCTCTGGCTGGCACTGGACTGTCTCCATCAGCATTCAGGTTATCTATCTCCTAGCCGAGCTGAGCAAGGTCATTGGCCAAGGCAGAGCCAGGCAACCATGCAGGCTCCTTCTGTGCTTCAGGCCTTGTTTTTTCTTAGAAAAGGGGTTTGTGTTTGTGTGTGTGTGTTGGGAGGGGGGTATCTGCACATGTTTATCTTCTAACCCATATGCTGTTACATAATTCAGTACAATAAATACAATGATTTAAAATTTAAACCCAAAAGGATTTTAGCATGTCACTATCAATTTTTAAAAATTATGGCAAAATAGACAGCAATGTTGGCATCTTGAACATCTGGAGCTCCCACGGCAGTGGCAGTAATTACATCCAGAGCAGCACAACCATCACCATTAGTATCCACTGAACTCAAGATCTGTCGCAGAAATTCTGTAACTGTTAAACCACAGCTTCCTATTCTTTCTCCCTCTAGCCCAGGGGTTCTCAACCTGGGGGCTGAACAATCTTTTCACAGGGGGTGCCTAAGACCATAGGAAAACATAGAAAAAAAATTTTTTTAAAAAGATGTATACAGTGTTCTGTCTGCATGTATCCCTGCAGGTCAGAAGAGGGCACCAGATCTCATTATAGATGGTTGTGAATCACCATGTGGTTGCTGGGAATTGAACTCAAGACCTTTGGAAGAGCATCCAGTGCTCCTAACCTCTGAGCTATCTCTCCAGCCCAGAAAACAGATATTTACATTACGATTCATAACAATAGCACAGTTACAATCATGAAGTAGCAATGAAATTAACCGTATGGTTGGGATAGCAGCATTAGGAAGGCTGGGAACCACTGCTCTAGCCCTTGTCAGTTTCAACCTGCTCTGATGAATTCACACACTGAAGGTATTCACTACAAGTAGAGTCATCTAGTATCATCCTGTGGCAGCCAGCTTATTTTGCTTTGCCCATGCTATTCATGTGCAGCAAGGATTAGAACTTCATTTCTTTGTATGGCTGAATAATACTCCACTGATGTATGTTCCACATTTTCCATGTTCATTTGTCCAGTGACTGACGCATGGGTGTTTCATCGACAACGAATGCTGGCATCAGCATCTGCTTGAGTTCCTTTTTCCAATTCCGTTGGATGTAACCCTGGAGTGAAAACTGCTGGGTCATGTGGCAGAAGTACTGTTCCCTTTTAGAGACCTCAAACTACACTTCACAATGACTGTACAACCACCAGCAATTTACGAAGGCTCGGCTCTCTCCGTGGTCTTGACAGCGGGTTAGTTTTAAAGCAGTAGTGCTGCCGGACTGCTGGACTGTAACCTCTCCAACGTTTAACGTGTGTACTTTCTGTCTTCCCTCATGTTCGCTGCTGAGCATTTATGAGGCAGCACTGGTAGCAGCTGCTCTCAGTCTTTGGCAAGGCCTCTCTTCCATGTCCAAACTTCTGACCCCATGGTGCTTGCCTGCAGCCCCCAGCTCTCTGGAACCAGCTCCACAGGCTCTCCGCCACCTTCACTCCCTTAGGGATAACGTGTTTTCAAAGCTCAGCCCAGCAACACTTCCTGCCCATACACTCTCCTAGGGTAGCAGCAGGTGCCAAAGAGTCTCCTCTTCCTGGACATGGGTCTATGGGAAGAGATGATGAAGCCTCTGCAGTGTTCCAAGACATAGACCCTAGGAGGCTCTAGAGCGGTGGTTCTCAATCTGTGGGTTGTATGTGGCCCCGTGGAGGTGGCGTATCAGGTATTTCCATTATGATTCATAACAGTAGAAAAATTAGTTATGAAGCAGCAACAAAGTAATTCTATGTTTGGGGGTCACAACATGAGGAACTGCATTAAAAGTTCTCTTTATGTACAATTAAGTGGCGATGATGCTGTACAACAGGACTGTCATCTTCTCTAATTGTCACTGAGCTACTTTCTTGTTTTGTTTTGTTTTGTTTTCCTTGAGACAGGGTTTCGCTGGCTGTCCTGCATGTTTTTCGTTTTCTTTCTTTCTTTTCAAATAACATTTATATAATGTGTGGTGTACACACATGTGTGTTCTATTCTTTTTTAAAAATTTCATTTATTTTATTTATATGAGTACTCTATCTGGATATATACCTACATGCCAGAAGAGGGTATCAGATTCCATTATAGAAGGCTGTGAGACACCATATTGTTCCTGAGAATTGAACTCAAGACCTCTGTAAGAACAGCTAGTGCTCTTAACCGCCAAGCCATCTCTCCAGCCCCCATGTGCTATATTTTTGTTAAGTTCAAACTTTCCTTATGGAAAGTTCACTGAATTCTGACATATGATTGTAACATGTACATTCAATGCTCTAGGTGGCACACACTTAGGGCTTTATAGGGCTCCCCCATAACTCACACACACCACCCTAAGTGACTGCAGTCGCCCCAGGAGAGCCTGCCTATCCTTGCCCCTGTAAATAAGTGCATTGTAAGGGCAAGGACGGTAGGGCAGGCGTCCCTCTCCATACATCACTGCAGCTATGTGGGGGACATCCATCCACTTTCTTGCGTCAGAAACAGCACATTATACTTTGCTGTTCTTTTTCTGCTAGAAGAGCATGGCATTAACTTGTCTATTCTGTGTCTTCTGAGAGCTGGGTTGCTTCCTGGCTTTGCTATTACAGATGCATGGCTATAAGTATTTTATCGCTATCTTTGCTGGACAAAGGGCTTCACTTATTTCTCTTGGTTACACAGAGCAGATCTGCTGGGCCAGCAGAGGTTGTACCTCTCAGCTCTGTTAATGCCAGATGGCTTTCCAAGGCTACACCAACTCCTACTGGCCAAGCATGAGTCTGCAGTTGCTGCCCCTCCTCACTTGCACTCGGAAGCAGGCCTCTAACAGCCATTTGGTCTTCTGTGTAGGCAGTCTTTACACTTTCTGAATACAGTCACTCCACAGGTTATACAGGCTACAATCACCCCATTTCACACCTTGTTTTACCTTAAGATTAAAGCCATACTTTTGTCAAGGTCCATTTTTCCTTCTTACAAATATCCCTTGTGTTCCCTTCAGGTCTGCTAGACGTGAAATCTCTCAGCATTTCTGCCCACCTCCCAAACTCTTGGCTCACTTCCTTCATGACAAGGCTTTTCTGCTGGGTTGGGAATTTGCAGGTACCAGACTCCCTCTTCTGGCAGGCTTCACACTGTCGTCCATCTATCACTCTGCAGACAGCGGTCCCTTCCTCTGGCAGCTTTTCACCTTGTGCTTGCTCTGTGTTCACCTGGGTCCCGGCTTCATCTCGGATGTGCTTAGCTGGCTGTCGGCTGGATATTTTACTCTCTGGGTTACTTTTGTTTACAGGATTTGAAAATGTCTGTCCTTCTGAATACTGCCAACCCAGGCTCTTCCTTCTGTGGCACTGAAGTGCACTCACGGAGCAGGGTTTCTCTTAGAGGGTCACTGCTTTCAGCACCCTCCATCCTTTCCTCTTTGTTTTTCTTTTTTCTTTTCTTTTTTTGTTTTGTTTTGTTTTATTTTATTTTGTTTTTTTGTTTTTTTGAGACAGTATCTCTGGGTAGCCCTGGCTGTCCTGGAACAGGCTCTGTAGCCCAGGCTGGTCTCAAACTGACAGAGATCTGCCTGCCCCTGCCTCCTGAGTGCTGGGATTAAAGGCGTGTGCCACCATGGCTCTAGCACTTTTCATGTTTTTGATCTCCATGATTTAGTCACAAGTGTACCCTAACTTCTAGTTCAAGGGTCAGCCAAGCTCAGAGGCTAAACTCCACTTACTGTTTTAGTGCTGGGAACCAAAGCCAGGTCCTCTGCAAAGCAGTCAGTGCTTCTAACTGGGAAGCCGTCTCTTCAGATTGCCTGCAGCTGCTTTGGTGTTGCGGAGGCAGAGCAGAAGGGCTGCAAAGCTCTCAGGCCCTGCACACTGTCCTTTTCCCAATGGTCTGGTCTGCTGGTGAATATATCCACAGTGCCCTTAGATGTCAAGTGGTACATTTCATAGGAGCTGGTGGGTCCTCTATAAAGGAGCTACGACACTGCTTAGAACTTCCCATTCTTTACTGGAATTTTCAAGTTTCCCTTTTACATTTGTTTGTTTCTTTTGTTTTTGTTTTTTGTTTTTTTTTAGAGGCAGGGTTTCTCTGTGTAGCTTTGCGCCTTTCCTGGAACTCACTCTGTGGACCAGGCTGGCCTCAAACTCACAGAGATCCGCCTGCCTCTGCCTCCCGAGTGCTGGGATTAAAGGCATGCACCACCACTGCCCAGCTCTCTTTTACATTTTGAAACATGTAAAACACAGCTGCTGTCTAGCAGTCTGGAAGTTTCTGTAAACGTAGTACTTCTGATATTTACTCTGTTCTTGTTCAGTGCCCCTGGCTTCCTTGTGACTGATTTGCCTTTGGGAAACAGTGTCTGTAGGGATAACTTGAGGCAGAGTAAGGGTTTCCTAAACTACAAGAGCTGTGCTCTTCTTGGCATACAGGCCACCTGCATAGGCCACACTGCACGGATCTGGAGCAGGTCCCTCTGGACTCTCCACTCTGTACACACCTTGGTTTCTGTCCATTTACCACGGGAGCTACTGACTACAAATACTCGGGTTTTCTCCAGCTAGTGAATGTGCTCAGGGAGTAACGGGTTCTGTGCTCCACCTGCTTTTCCTAGGCCCCCACCTTCCCACTCCCACTTCTCCACCTTGGCTCGGTAAGTTAGTTTGGTAGTGATTTTAAAAGCAGGGTTTCCAGGAGCTGGAGAGATGGTTCAGCGGTTAAGAGCACTGGCTGCTCTTCCAGAGGACCCGGGTTTAATTCCCAGCACCCACATGGCAGCTGTCTGTAACTCCATACACCTGTCTGTAACTCCAGCTCCAGGGATTCTGATACCCTCACACAGACACACATCTAGGCAAAACACCAATGCAGATAAAATAAAAAGAAATAAATCATTAAAAATAGAGCTTCCATATTTTATAAAGCATTTCCCACTGTTTTTGGTAGGTTTCAGTGACCAGAAAGCACTTCTCTCTTCTAAGCAGCTCACTACCAAGGACGCAGCCATCTCCAAAGGGAAAAGCCTGCAGGAAAAGCTCCTAAGGATGCCACGCTGCACTCACTGTGGAGCTTCAGCAGCTCTCACTTCCAAGGCCACAGTCATCTCACTTGTCTGCTTAGTGCTGGTGCCAACAGCACACTAAGTCTCTCTGGGCCCCACTGTCTTTTTCTTTTAAATGGGGACAGCAACAGCACTTACTTCCTACGGAGCAGTCAACCTGACTGTACGAATTACTTCAAAAGAGACCTGCACACTGTCCTGCTCAAGCACCGCCGTGCGGGCAAGCAGGCGCCTCAGGAGCACAGACAGCACAGCACAGAGACAGATGGTGTGGTCTCTGCTACAGTCTTCTTCCTAAACAACCACTCAAAACTAAGAACAACTACAACAGCAAAATGCCAGACCTGGTGGCACAGGCCTCGAACTCCAGCTACTCAGGAGGTTGGGGCAGGAGGATGGTAATGAAGGCCAGTCTGGGCAACTTAGACCTGACTTCAAAATAAAACTAAAAAAAAAAAAAAAAAAAAAAAAAAAAAAAAAGAGGGGGGTGGGATGGGGGATTGGGGACATAGCTCAGTGGTAGAGTACTTGTCTAACATGAGCAAGCTCCTAGATTCAGTCCCTAAAAAAATAAATAAATGAAGAAGTAAAAACCATCCTTAGCTCAATAACTAATTGTGAATAAATTTGTAAAACAAAACCAAATTGTAGATAAAGCAAGGCCTACAGGTGGCTTTAGTCTGTGGATTATAGATGTCAACCTTGACCTAAGAGAACAGGCAGACAGAGCCCAGTAAGTGTTTTCTCTCTTTAACCTGCAGCAGGGTCTTCTGCATCCTAAAAGCAGCTAAGCACTGAGTTTAAGAACTAGATGTGGAACCAGACATGGTGTCCCACACCTTTGGTCCCATCATTCAGGAGGTAAAGGTGGGCAGATCTCTGAGTTCAAGGCCAGCCTGGTCTACAGAGTGAGTTCCAGGACAGCCAGGACGGTTACACAGAGAAACCCTGTCTGGAAAGAATAAAAAGAACAAGAACTCTCTGTGGCTGTCTGGTAGCCTGGCCCAAGAGTAAACTGAGTCTATTACACTGAGGAAAAGTGGATAGATCCTGATACAAATAGAAACAACCATGCATACTTACCTGGCCAAAGACTGATCCACCAGTACTAGCTGCTTGACCAAACACAGAACCAGTATTACTAGATCCAAAACCTATAAGACATAAAGCCGAAGGTTCAGTTTGGACAAAGCTTCTTAAATATCAAAAGCCCAAACCCAAACCCAACCAAACCCTCATAGTCTTCAAGTGTTTAGGGATGCTGCCGGGGGCAGAAAGTCATGACTGGTCTTACCCAGTGGTGCTCTTAGCCTGCATGCTACAATAATGACCTGCCAGAAAAGATGTGCCTATTGCCGGGCGGTGACGGCGCACACCTTTAATCCCAGCACTCGGGAGGCAGAGCCAGGAGGATCTCTGTGAGTTCGAGGCCAGCCTGGGCTACAGAGTGAGTTCCAGGACTGGCTCCAAAGCTACACAGAGAAACCCTGTCTCGAAACAACAACAACAAAAAAGATGTACCTATTTATGCAACAGTCACATGAACGTTAGGGGAATAACTAACTACTTTTCTGCTTAGATTTGGGGCCCATTTCACATGAGGGCATTCATTCCTGGCACCATGGACAACCTGGTCAGAAGCCCAGGCTGAGGAGGTCATAGGCATGAGGTGGGAAGTTATTACTGTTCTGTCAAGCAGACAAGTCAGGTTTTCTTTCTAAAGTGTTGTTCTTCTATCCATCGGCTAGGTTACTTTCAGTCTTGGTCAGAGCAGCTTTCTGTGACAGGCAGAGGCTAATGAAGAGAATCATAGCTATGATGAGACTAGGTAACCGCTCAGTGCTCCACCCTAAACTGGACTAAAGGGCCGAGAACACCGTGGAAGACGAACAAGGAGTGTAGAGAATCCAAGAGCGGGACGACAGGAAGGACGCAGCCAGGATGGCTGCTGTGCTCACGGGGTCACAGCAGTGAGGACTACCTGCCTGCCAACAGTCCAGGATGGACGCGGAGAACACAGAAGGCCCTGCCCCAGCTGAGGGGCTACTGGTAGTTAATGGCTCCTGGAGGGGGGGGGGCATCTTCCTTTAGAAGGGTAGCTGTGGGTAAGTTGTCCGTGATCCGGTAAACAATCCCATCCCCGTGCTCATGAAGCATCCTAACCAAGGTCAGTCATTAAAAAAAGGGAAGGAGTTAAAGGGAGCAGGAGGGGTGTACTGAGAAAAAGGCTCCAGAGGCAGCAGGAGCAGATAAGACGGGATGGGTCTGTGTGTGATTCTCATCAAAATGCATTATACGGGCTGGAGAGATGGCTCAGAGGTTAAGAGCACTGGTATTCTTCCAGAGGTCCCGAGTTCAATTCCCAGCAACCACATGGTGGCTCACAACCATCTACAATGAGATCTGGTGCCCTCTTCTGGCAGGTGGGGATACATGCAGACAGAACACTGTATACATAATAAATAAATAAATCTTTTTTAAAAAAAAAAAACCTTATAAAAAATGCAGTATACACACGCCCATGGAAATGTCAATCCCCTCTGAGGAAATGGAGAAAACTCTATGTAAACACAGTTGTTAATTGGCATCCATATGGGATCAGGTCTAGCCCTTGAGGATACCCTTAGATACAGATACGGGAGGCTGCAGCAGTCTCTTTCATGACGTGCTGTGACTAATCTACCATGAGGACTCTTTCTCACTGATATTCTTGCCAGGTACAACCACAAGAGAGGCAAGCGAGGCGGGCCTGTGACTCACTTCTGGAGCAGATTAGATGGGGAGTAGAGACAAATGTCAATTCCTCCACTAGGCCTGGAGGTGACAGGCCCAGGAGCTTTCCATCCACGTACTGTTGAAAGAAAGACCCCTTTGGAGGCTCCAGATCTGGTGGGCTGCAGTCCTGGGCTAAGCCGTCATCACTCCATCATTCAGATGGGCCACTTGTTCAGCACAGCCTCAGGGCATTCGGGGCTCAGAGCTGTGCTTTTCTTTCCACTGTGTTTTATGGTTGTTTTTGTAAGAATCTAACGCTCATTGAAAGAGGGAAAACATTCCTTTAAACAAATTACAAGTTGTTTCAAATAAATTATTGCTGAAGAAATTAATCGGAAATTATTTGCAATCTTGCCTACCAAGAAATCATTGATCTTTTGTTTCCCCTGGAGTCTAACTGCTAAAGAATTACTTTTTTTCCCCCTTGAACTCAGAGATCCTCCTGCCTCTGCCTCCCGAGTGCTGGGATTAAAGTCATGCACCACCACCGCCCATCAAGAATTACCTTTCCTAAGAGAACCACCAGAAAGCCAGACCTGGAACAGATCTCCACATTACAATGTCTGCTGGCAACTTTAAAAGTAAAATTGGATGCTAAGACTGGATACAGCAGAGTGAAGCATCCAGTTTTCTCTTCAAAAGTAGTAAAATGTGCGTCTCTGTGTGTTGAATTGCTACTCAAGTGGCAGTGTGTCCACTTCACACAAGAGAGATGGTGTCAGGCTGCCTGAGCCTGGTAGTTTTAGGGCCTCTTAAGCGCCTTCCAAATGTAAAGTACTTGCTGTGGCCTTAAACAAAGACGTACTCTTTTGACCCGTGCAATTGGCAGTCTCGTGGCCAGCCAAGTGGAGAGCTCGCTGAGGACCAAGAGCAGAGCAGCTCTGAGCCACAGGCACAGCCAACCAGGACAAAGCAAGGCCTGAGCATGCACTCGGGCACTAAGTCTCTCCCTTAGCTTGGCTATTAGCTTTTGTCTTTGTTCTTCTTTCGTTTACACTTTTTTATTTGCCTTTGTGTTTCTGAGACAGAATTTTATGTAACCTGCGCTGGCTCTGAATGTACTATGTAGGCAAGGATGACCTTGAACTCTCGATCCTCACCACAACACCTAGCTCCTCTCCTTTCATTACAAAAACAGGGGAAGCTTGTTACAAACGTTGTCAACAGCATAGAAGGGAAGGAAGTCCAAACGGTCTTACCGGAGGCCTGACAAAAGCTGAACCCTGACGGTGCAGCTGTGGAGGTAGTGGCCGAGGTTCCGCCAAACACAGAGCCTCCCTGCCCAAAGCCAGGGCTCTGACCAAAGGCAGGAGGGTTGTTTTGGCCAAACAACGTCCCTCCGGTGTTGGTGGAAGACTGTCCAAAAGAGAAGGAACCAGGGCTGCTGGCACTCGAGGCAGCTCCAAAGACACTGGCACTGGTGGACGTGGGCGTAGAGGAGGCAGCCTGGCCAAAGACAGGCGCAGAGCTGAAGCTGGGCTGGCTGAAGGAGAAGCCACTCGCAGGGCTGCCTGCCGCCTGCCCGAAGGCGGGGGCCTGCCCAAAGGCCGTCTGTCCGAAGACGGTGGCGGGCGCTGAAGCACCAAACGCGGGGCTGCCAAACGCCGAGCTGCTGGCCTGGGGTGTGGCCGCGGCCGTGCTGCTGGTGACCACCTGTCCAAACACGGGGGTGCCAGAGGGCGCGGTGGCCGTGCTGCTGGGGGGCTGGCTGAACGCTGAGCTAGCGCTGGCAGCAGAGGGCTGTGTAAAGACCGAGGAGCCAGAAGTGGCGGTCCCAAACACGGCTGTCTCGGTGGCAGAAGCTGGGGCACCGCTGGAGGCGGTGCTGGAGGTGCTCGGGGTAGCCGATGCCTCGATGGCTCCTGAGCCTGCCCCTGGGAGGACAGCTGCGCCAACAGCAGCCTGCCCCGGCCCTGCAAAGGTGGAAGCAGGAGACACAGCCTCGGTCTTGCTGTCAGGGCCCCCTGGGGCTATCGGAGGGGCCTCCGTGGATGCCACAAGACTGGCAGCGGATGCTGGTGGGCTGGGGCTGCTGTCTGCGGTTTGCACAAGAACAGGTTCTTTTTTGACAGGGTCAGAAGTTTGCAGAGAAGCCTGGGGAGGCTGGGTTGACTGTGGTTGTACCGGAAGGGAGGGTGCTGATGCCGAGACTTCACCATGGCCTGACTTCTCAGGCACAGCTGATGGTGTGGCCTCCTCTGTGCTCTTACCAGAGGACACAGGCAGGGGAGAAGCTGATGTTGAACTCAAGAGGCCACCAAACGATAAGGTGGGGAAAGACGATGTAAGGGAAGGGGCAACTGAGGTCACTGTTGGGGCAGCTGATGCTGCTGCACTACTCGTCTGTGGGCTTCCAAATGAGAAACCAACTTTGCTAGACACCAGAGATGGCCCGGCAAAGCTGACGAGCCCAGAAGGTCCAGCACTGCTAAGGGGCAGACCGCCAAAGACGGGAGCCGAGGGAGTGCTGGTGCTCACATTCAGGGGTGCGGCCGGGGCGGCCAGCGCAGGGGCTCCAGAGGACGGTGGCGGCACAGTGGGCTCCACAGGCTTCCCTACCACTGGGGCGCTAGAAAAGCTAAACCCTGAGGGCTTGGCTGGCTGGACTCCCGCTAGGCTTGTGGATGAGGCCTTATTGACTGGCTTTGAAGAGTCCTCAGCTTGGCCAACACGAAGTCCTGAAAAGCTCCCTAGTGTCTCTCCAGCTAGGGAACTTGGGAACAGGAGCTCGCCCAGCTTGGACACTGGAGCGTCCACTTTGCTTGCGGCAGCGGACACAGGAATTCCAGAAGGAGCTGCAGGCCTGCTGTTGGCCGGAGCGGAGTCTCCTGGAGAAGCAGTTGTTACAGAAGTGCTGGGTGCCGATGTGGGGCCTGTGGGAGGGGAGCCTCCAGGAATGGTCTCACAGAAAGGTTTGCCTCCCCCGCCAAATGAGAACGTCTCGGGCTGGTTTGACTCTTTCGTGGGGGGTGCTACCCCTAGCAAGAAAAGAAACCAGGAAGAGGGTTAGATTTAGCAAAATATGATTGATCACATTTCCACTGACTGCATTTCTAAGGCAATTCTCTCCTCTCTTCACAGCCAGGAGAGCTGGTTCCAATGGCAGAGTTCCCTGGAAAGGACAGACTGACTGCCTGGGTCAGCTCTAGGTGGGAAGGAATGAAGAGCCTTTTCTGACCACTGCATCACAACACACATGACCTCTAGGAGACACAAAATAACAAATTATCCCCAGAGAAGTAGAAAAAACACCTGTTTATGTACACTCAACACTGTGTTGGGTAATGGCTTCCTCCAGCCCTGGGCATCTGCTAATCTATGGATAATTCCGATAGGCCATTTGGACCCAGACTGGAAGCTGCTGTTTAAAGGGCACAGAGTGTCCACGCACAGATGATAATGACGTTATTTACTGGGGTTCTCTGAGTACAGAGTGTTATCATTGGCGATGTTATCTACCACTGTACTGATTCGGAGTTGATACGGGATCACTATCACCGCTTATCCCTACTTTATTTCCTATGATCTGGACAATGGCTTTGTTCCCCAAGCTTTCATACTTCTGAGTTGATTTTTACTCTAGCAAGTGAGAGTGGGCAGGACTGGGGAGAAGGCTGGGTGGGCAAAGTCACAATGTGACTTGAGTCACAATGTGAGGACCCAAGTCAGAACTCCCAAGTCAGAACCCACATAAAGCCAGAAACAGTAACGTGCATTCAATGTCTCTAAAACAAGAGAGATACTAGAGACAGGATGCTCCTTGGAACATGGGTCAGCTAGCATGTCAAACAAGGTGGAAGCCAGGACTCCCAAGCAGTTGCGGTTATAAGCCTGTGTCTCCAGACCCAGCAAAGGTGACAGAAGACATTGGGTTAAATGAAAACTAGCTAACAAGAAAAACTCTGAAAAGGAAAATAACCCAACTGCAGCGGCCTTTATGGAGGTTCATATGTGACTTTAAACTCAACCATGCAGTTAACATTTCAGTTTCCCGATGATGCTCAGCCTGGCAGCAGGTGCTGAGCCTTCTCACTAGCCCCACATCAGGTTCTAGAGCAAACATCTGCTGCTGCTCTGCTTCTACAAGGTAAAGCCAGGGCCTCCTGTGTGCTGAGAAGATGCTTCTGGGCTCCTCCGAGTCCTCTGACCTGCCTCTAGTGTGTGTCATCACTATCAGCCTGACTTCAGGAACTGTTAACAGGACCCACACAGTGTCACAATGTCAACACACGTTCAGATACAACCTCTCCGCTTAAGGAAACATGGGGACTGTACCTGGGGTGGCAGTGAGGCTAGAAGATGGTGTTGGTGTGATTGTCCCAAAAGTAAAGGCAGTCCTGAGGAGTGGAAAAAGAGAAGTTAGAAAAGAACAAACCTACGACACAACATCACCCTTTTAATATTCCTCCTTATAATTCATTCACAGAATCTGCCCTTGAAGGATTACATCCAGTGATAAGCAACAGCGGAGTTCAAACCCGCTGTTCTCAGAGGCAGTCAAGCCACTCCAGCACATCCAAGCAGAGAAGAGCAGCTGCGGGAAGGCTCTGGCTGGGCTTTCCACAGAAGGCCTGTGAAGAGACTTATTTTAAGAAAAGTAAAGCTGCCCCAGTGAAAACATCTAAGAATGAAAGGGGAGGCCCTGGAGCAGACGCTTACTACTGAGCGAATGGGAAGTCTGGCAAGGCAGCAAAGGGACAACAGGGAGACTCTGGGCACTCACCCCAGGTCAAGAAGCATGTCAGGAGACCTGCTGTGCAAAAGATGCAGCAGGGGTGTAGAGGACAGACTGCAAACTGAGGCAAGAGCACACATTTTCAACTGAGTAACTCTAAACCACGGGGCAGCAGGCCTATCAAATACAGTAAATAATGCCAAGATCCAGCTTTTCTCAACTACTGTTGCCATCTTCAAATGGACAAAGACCTTCTAAGGATATGTTACACATTTTTTTTTATCATATTAAAAAGCAAAACTCCCTTTTTTTTTTTTTTTTTGGTTTTTTGAGACAGGGTTTCTCTGTGTAGCTTTGCGCCTTTCCTGGAACTCACTTGGTAGCCCAGGCTGGCCTCGAACTCACAGAGATCCGCCTGGCTCTGCCTCCCGAGTGCTGGGATTAAAGGCGTGCGCCACCACCGCCCGGCAAAACTCCCTTTTTTTAATTGGCTGGCCTCAACCTTGGCAAAAATTTTTTTTCAAATAGATAGTCCAATTGGTTCACTCACCCAAATCATCCCAGCTTTCTTTACAGACTGGAAGAGCACTCTCATTTCAGAGACATTAAGATTAATTATTGTATTTGTAAAGGATACAGCAATCCTTGGCCTTGACCCACTCTTGACAATCTGCTTCAATTATCCCTGGGAGGTATGGATGTATGATTTGTAACAATGGAAGCCACATACGGCTTCTCCTTCTGATTGATCCCAGTGCCCTTTTCTCACCCCGAGGAGCTGGAGGATAATCAGAACACTACTCAGAGGAAAGGGAGTGAAGCTGGCGGAGTCAGGTAGAGGCAGGGGTTTCTCGAACAGAAATGACAACACAGCCTTTCAGCGGTAACAAGCCTGCTACCAGGTCTGGGTGGCAGTCACAATCTGATTCCAGCAAAGTCAGGAAGGGCAAGCTTCAGCAACTTGCCTGGCTTTTATCATGTACCCAAAAAATGGACACTGCCAGTCTTCACTGAATAACAGATAAGGTTTAGAAAAGTCTTTTTTGCTTCATTAACCTGACTCAGATCTACACCATGGCTGCCACTGAACACGGTGGGAGGTGGAGGCAGGAGGTTCAGGAGCTTAAGGCCATCTTTAGCTACAACAGCAAATTTGAGGCCAGCCTGAGCAATATGAGTCTCTCTGTTGAGTCCTTATTCCCTATCATCTACTTACAAATCAGAATTTCAGAATGGTTACTGTCTTTCACTGCATTCCATGTGCAGGTCAAGAGATCCAACTCAGGGCAGTTAGACCGTTCCACAGTCATGCTGACTAAACACTAAATGGTGTCAGAGTGAAAACACCAGATATACTGGCTGACCTACAGAAGTGGACACACATTCTCCACCAGAAAAAAAATGAAGTTTAGGCTTAAAAAAAGCAAATATGATAATAACCCAGAACCACAAAGGGAAAACAGATTCGCACTAAAACATTCAACTACCGCCACTGTCTGCAGATGACATGAGAGCTCAGGATGTACTTGTGGATGTGGCTGACAGTGACTTAGCACAAAACCTAAGTTCACCACTCACCCTGATGGAGCAAATGAGAAAGGCTTGCTGAGCTGCCCGACAGCAGATGGAGTCGAGGTCACAGCTGATTCTGTCTTGGCTGTCCCTGAACCTGAAATGGACAAAATAAGGACATTCTGTAAGTCTGTCTGAAGGGCTGGTGTGGTCTGTAGTTCCCTACAGCTCAGACTGTGCTGTTGCTCAGAGCCTGCCTCCTACTTGAGGTCTCCTAGTCTTGCTCTTGGGTTCTGTCGATGGTGGTGCCAAATCAAGGCACGCCACACTCTCCTTTCCAGAGAAGTCATCTCCGTGCAGACTAAATTAAGGATGCATTCCTCTAGACCAACTGACTGGCAAAATGCCTTTCATATACTGTAGCTTTTAACTCTCTGAAGATAGTTACACTGCAGGGGAAATCCCCAGACAAGAGGTTGACTGAAGTGAGCATTTCTGAGCAGTGCCTTCAGGGCTGCTGAGATCTATTTATCTATCTATCCACGTCTGCCCTTTCCAGAGGTTGGGTGCTTTTTTTTTTTTTTTTTTTTGGTTTTTCGAGACAGGGTTTCTCTGCGGTAGCTTTGTGCCTTTCCTGGAGCTCACTTGGTAGCCCAGGCTGGCCTCGAACTCACAGAGATCCACCTGGCTCTGCCTCCCGAGTGCTGGGATTAAAGGCGTGCGCCACCACCGCCCGGCCTTTTTTTTTTTTTTTTTTTTTTTTTTTTTAATTCAGCAAATACCAGTTTTTTTTTTTCCTAGCTACAGAGGTAACAGACACTTGTCGTATATGATCACTCTAGAAAATAGAAGTGTAGACATTAAGGGAAGTGGTCATCAGCCCCATGTTAAGCTCGACTCAATACTGAAATGCAATGTGGATTCTAGAAACATGCTCATTGCAGCCTTGTCTGTAATTGTGAAATAGAAGCCCCTGAATTGCCAGCGGAATGCTGCTAAAATGCTGAGACCATTAAAATGACCAAGGCGGATCTGCCAGGAAGAGAACAGGATGTTCACTGTGCTGGGCTGAAGGGTGGGGAAACAGAGAAGACACAGAAAATGTCTGTGCACGTTCAGACGATAAAGTGGGCCGGTGAGAGGGCCCAGTGCACAGGTAAAGGCACTTGCTGTAAAGACTCAGACCCACACGGTGGAAGGAGAGTGACTTCTGTAAGGTCCTCTGACACTAACATGAGCACCATGGTCTGCACGGCCCCTTCAGCGACATTAATGAAACAACACTCAAAAACAAAACAAAAGAATGCACTAGCCTCAAAAGATACACATAAAATTCATAAGGTCATTTTTGAAAAAGACTCCAGGGACACTTTCACTTTCTACATGTTATATTTTTACACTGATTTTTGTTGACATGTGACCATGTTGTGATCAGCAAAACAAGAAAAGTATTTCTATTACTGATGAGTAGGAGAATTATTCAACAGATTTCAGAAATATACATACAAGGGGAGAGGGAGGGGGAGGGAGGGAGGGAGGGGAAGGGGGAAGAAGGGGGGAGGGGAGGGAGGGAGGGAGGGGAAAGGGGAAGAAGAAGAAGGAGGAGGAAGAGGGGAGAGGGAGGGAGGGAAGGAGGGAGAGAGAGAGCATACAAGAGTGAGCTAGGTATGTTGGCTCATGCCTACAATCGTAGCAGTTAGGTAATGAGGCAGGAAGATTACTATAAGCTCAAGGACAAGGTTAGCCTGAGCTATAATACAGTGGGCTATATATAGTGAGTTATAGGTTTGCCTGAGCTACCATGTGGGACTCTTTCTCAAGTACAAGAACAGGTTTTACAAAGGCATGCAGGGTTTTCAGTCTAAAAGAGAGAAGTTCTTCTCTGAGCCTTGATGGCCCTGCAAGTGTAGACAGCATTGGACAGTGAGTGCTGATGGAAGCCACGAGGCCTTAAGTCTCTTTGAGTCTTAACTTTAAGTGGAATAAAGGGGTCTGTGACGAAGTCCTTTAGAGAACTAAGGTAACGCTCTTCTGAAACTTTTTCACCAGAAAAATATTAGCCAGAAAGGGACAAATTTGTTTCAATCCTAAATGAATCAAGTCTTTGCTGAACCCATTAAACTTGTCCTGATCTATATAATGTGGTTTTCTTGTCTGTGAGGAACACTCTGTGTTTCAGATCAGAGGGCTCTGAGAAAGGAAGCAGCTGGGTGACTGGTGGCCATTATGCGAAGTGGGCAGCTTCCATGTCACGTTCAGTCTCTAACTGAATCTGCTGGAGAATGGAAATGAAAATAAAAGCTCGGACGCCCAGAGTGGTGATATGCAGAACTAGTCAGCACAGGCTGTTCAGATGGAAGCTGTGGGGCCCCCGAGGTGGCTAAGGGTGAGATCAACAGCAGACACTGACAAAGGTGCCATGAAAACTAGGGGCTTCCAGGGATTGGACGTGGGGAGCCAATGACGTCCGAGTGAACGGGTGATGACTGACAGGGTCCTGGACATGTCGAGGACTAATGCCTCTGCTCCAAAGGGAAACATAGTTTTCTCTCCTGGTCTAAGTGTGAATGTTGACTGGGCACAGAAAATGTCCACTGCAGCCTTTTCCAACATCCCTATTACAGCCTGAAGACTGCTCCCTACAGACACTGCTCCTACCAACAGTAGTCCACCCAACCCCAGCAATTCCTCATAGCTGAGGCCTTCAGAAAACAGCATCTGTTCTTCTTTGCCTGCCTGCTGGCTTGGTGATCTGCATGGAGAACTATCAGGAGCATCTTTCAGCTTCATCTCCTAAAACAGACATGCAGACTCACCTGCAGCTTTATCGCCAGAGGACGAGTGACAGGATGCTGGTGTGGGTCCCGGCGGCTTGAAGGAATTGATCGGAGACCCCTGTACAGAACACAAGAGAAACTGTTATGCTAAACTGCTAACCATCACTGGAATAAATGAACATGTAAGATGGAAACGTAAAAACAAACTAAGCAAGCACAAACACATAAATTCAGTTTAATTACTCAAAAAAAGGGGGAAAGGAAAAATAGTAAATGTTTTGAGTCAATCACCTATAACATCACACTGGAGACGCCTGTGTGGCTCAAAGATGACTTCTCAGTACCTAGGACGGTGTTTGGCACATACACGGCACATGAGTGCTTGGTAGAGGAATGAATGGGCAAATGAGGAAAACAGCCAGCTCTGTTTAGTGAGCTTCAGCAGAGCGAGCAGGAAACCACCTGGGCTCCGCCTGCTGCAACTTCTGTCCTCACCTGCCAAGGTGTAGGAGTTAACCACACATCTTCCGGGAGAACACAGGCAAAAGCTAAGGCACAGAAAAGTGCTGGGAACTCATCATGGCAGCTATGAAGACACAATCTTAACTCTGGTTTCAAGTGCCATCTAAAGCTGTGTATCTCCAAGGCAGATATGAGAGAGACCAAGACTACAGGGAAAGCTCCAGCGAGCTCGTTTCCCTTCTAGCTCCTCCTAGTCACAGCCCTCCATTTTTCTCTATTCTTTTCTTTTGTTCTGTTTAATAACAACCAGTCAGAAGTCAAAGCTAGACACAGCATCACTGAAAACATGGCAACTCTGAAAAGCAGAGCTGCAGGAGGAAGACAAGCCAGACCCAACACTGACTCTCAACAGTGTGGTGGGAGCAGTAAAGACAGCCTGGGCAGCCTTGGGTCCCAGCTCTTCCTACCAGTTCCTGACTGGATGAGCCCACGTGGGTTACCTGACCTCGGCTGCCTCAAAAGGGACATATCTAAACACCTACTGTACAAGTCAGATCATGAATATTAAGTCAAAACAAACAAACAAACAAACAAACAAACATCTCCTGCAAACTAAAACACCCCATCCACAAGCATTCTATCAACAGCATATGGTCTGTGGTGGCTAGAGCCGAGTGTCAACGGTCCATGATGACAGTATCAGGTCTTGACTTATTACTCTGGTTAACCATGTCAATCAAGACTGGCATGGATTATGGAAAAGAAATAACAGCCTTTCTAAGAATCACATTCATTTAAACGAAGCCAAGTCGTAAAGTGATCTTCAGCTGCAGAGACAGTAGGCATGACTGACAAAGGACCCATCAGTAAGATACCTGCTTAGCCTGGCCGGTAGCCACTGGGGCTAACACTGCATGAGGTGTTTTGGCTGTTGAGTGCGGTGGCAGCGGCGGCACTGAAGAACTGAAAGACACAAAGCATTTGCTCAGAGACAGGGCTGGGGACAAACATGTTCGTCCTCGAGCCAGTTAGTTCCCTGTTCAGTAGATGAGAACACTCAGCGCAGAAATAGATATCCGAGACCCCAGCCAAACTCACTAGACATTCTGTTGAAGAATTAATTAGTTTTAAAATGCAACCTGGGTTTTCAATCATATAAAATTCAAAATAATGACCTTGGTAGCATTTTCCATTCTACAATTCCATGACACATTTGTGATCATTTCCAAATAGATGTTGTTCTTATTGAGACAATTGGCACCCTTCCTTCCTGCCTCCCTAGTTTTAGACTGTGTGGGGAAGTTCCGAGTCTCTTTTTCAAGCCTGCAAAAAGAGGACCAACCACACATACAACAAAGGTGCTACCAGAGACTGGATGTTCACAGAGCAGCTATGGGGGGCTCCACAGCACCACTACTCCACTTGCGGTCTGCATCGGGGCTACTCTATGATGTACTCCCAATTTCCAAGACACCTCTCACCAACCCAGAGCTGTCCTCAGGGAACCACTCTTCACTCCCTAGATAGTGAGAGCATATGAGGAGTCCACCTATCAGTGCAATCAGAGACAGACGTCCTTAGCATTTCGGGGAGCTTTAACTTCTTTGTCCTCAGCCTAATGCTACTTAACTGGAATATATAGTAGCAATTGTAGCTGTGGGATTTGTTTTTTAGAACACTTTTCAGACTTGAGGGAGGAGTATTAATAACTTTCCATCAAAAATTAATTTGATGCCAGGTGGTGGTGGTACACATCTTTAATCTCAGCACTTGTGAGGCAGAAGCAGGAGGATCTCCGAGTTCAAGGCCAGCCTGGTCTACCAAGCGAGTAGCCTGGTCTACCAGAGATACCCTGTCTGGATTAGACCGGAGAAGAAAAACAGACTCAGGGAAAGAAACCCCACGATGATTCTGCAAGAAGAAAAGCAGCTGCGAGAGTGCCCCAGACGCTCCACCCCACAGGTCCTCGGGTGCTGCGCTACCTCGGCTCTGCTCATCTCAGAGAAGGAATGTGCTAGCGAGACTGCTGGGACCCAAGATCCCAGGGTGGATTCGGTCAACATGAAGACAGAAACCCACAAGGGAAATGAACCTCTTATGTAAAACTAGAAATGAAGATTAAAAACAGCAATTTCTCCAAACCCTGGAAAATATTTACATCTGAAATCTGGTGACAGCACGATGGTACGTTAAATCCCGACAGCTTAGTCGCATGCAGTGCTGTTCTATTTACTGTGACTATGCCACGTGTCTCCCGGGCACCCCAGATCCCTAAACACAAAACGAGGAGGCATAGGACTAGCACACTGTGCCACGTGACACCGCGGTGGAGAAACACTGCTTGGCACAAGCAGCCAATAAACCTATCCATAAACCAGCTCCAAGCAATCTCCACCACAACTCAAAGGGCGAACAGCAAAGGACAGCACACTCCCAAATGAACACGCTCAAGGACTGTGCACAAACACAGGCCAAAGGAAGGAAGTCAACAGCTCGAAATGCCCATGAGAATACGTGGGAAACCCAGGTTCAGAATTACCCTCTTTTGGGTAACTATATTCGGCTTTCCAGCAAGAGGAACCTGACACAGATCTACATCACCTGTATACTCTGTTCCCAAAAGAAACAACTGGGCTAAGAGTGGCTAAGTACACTTACACAGGACCTAGACTCAATTCCCAGCACACACGTGGCAGTTCACCATTGCCTGTAACTAATCCTAGGGAATACAATATATTCTTCTGGCCTGTATGGCACCAGGCACACATATGATGTATACACATACATGAATGTAAAACACACACACACACAAAAGGAAGCAGCTACGGCAGCACTTGTGAGAAAACAGACAGTGAGAACCAGAGCCGTGAATGCTGTGAGACATTCCAGGGTTTTGCAGGCCCTTTCTGTGTGGTTAAGTATTCTGCCCATTGCTGGGAAAGGTCAAAAATGACTCATTCTTTCACTTATTTCAACAGCTTAAATGGCCTAAACCATGAGACACATGTCTTCTATTAGAGAATTTTAATTATTAGTGTATCTTTTAATAAATACTCATATATGACAGGGCAGAACCAAACTACATGCTACTGAATTATGTAATGAATAATGAATTTTTTGGTACTCATTCAAAAGTGAGGCAAGAGCATAGCTTATCAAGAAAATAAGAAATAACAACAAGCCTAGAGGGAAAAAGAGAAACTAATAAAAATGTTACTTTATGTATTTATTGATTTTCTTCAGAGGCAAGGTTTCTCTGTGTAGTTCTGGCTGGCCTCAAACTCTGAGATTGGCCTGCCCTCTCTCTGCCTCCCAAGGGCTGGGATTAAAAGCATGGACCGCTTCCCCCAGCGTATGTTACTTTTATTTAATACAGCTACTCTCAACCTCTTGGTTGTGACCTTGCATGTTGAATGATGCTTTCACAGGGCTTGCCTAGGACCATTGGAAAACATTTACATTATGATTCACAACAGTAGCAAAACTAGTTATGAAGTAGCAATGAAAATAATTCTATGGTTGGGGATCACACCATGAGGAACTGTATTAAAGGGTCACAGCATTAGGAAGGTGGAGAACCACTGATTTAAAAGAGTCCAAACCTATTGAGGCTTTCCTGAAACCTGCCCATGGAGACACACCTAACAGCTACTGTCCTTTCTGCTGAGCCTCATATTTCTGAAGACAAAGCATTGTCCAGAAGTCTCTTAGTGGAAATGTAGTTTCTCCTGAGACACAGGTAAGGTAGATCTCTGTGAGTGCAAGACCAGTTAGGGCCACAGTGAGACCCTGTCTCAAAAAACTAATTAAAAAAAAAATTAAGTAAGAAATCCATTTACAAGACAGCCAGCTGTTTATAAAAATGTCCCACAGGGTGTGGGACAGGTAGAAATCAAATATATAGATTTGATTTATATATATAGACCAGAGGGAGAAACCGAGCACTGTGCTAAGTGTTGCACCGTTCTTTAAAGTGGATCACGTGAAGACAGACTATGCTGACGTAAACTGTATACACTATAGCCTAACCGAGTTGTCAACAATAAGCCATCCTAAGAGACTAAACAGTGTATAAATACTCAAGTACAGAATGTCAGAGGCTATTAGGAGCTGCCACAAACAAGTCTTTTCTTCCGTGAATTTATATACTTCCACAAGTTGTCTTTTGATCTCCACATGTGCCTGGGCACATGTATGCACATGAACATAAACATAACTGAACACAATTTTAAAGCTAAAATGAAAACTATGTTTTAGGCACTGGGTGCATAAGTTCAATAACTGTATCAGAGTCCAACTCCAACAGCCTAGCATTAGAAACACTAATTGCTCCAGCAGAGGACCTGGGTTCAGTTACGAGCACCCATGCAGGGTGGCTCACAAGACACCTGGAACTCCAGTTCCTGGGGGTTCTGACACTCTCTCTGGTCTCCACAGGCTCCTGCAGGCACACACACACAAACAGAAAATAAAGAGCAGATTTTAAAATCTCCCGCCAGCACTTGTGGTTTTTTGTTGGAGAAGAGCAGAGCTGGAAACCCTGCCACCGTCAGAGAGCAGGAGCAGGTGAGCTAAGAGGTGATCTGAGCACAGGCAAAGGAGAAAGGAGCTTCCATCCTTTGGCTAGTGGTCAGCGTCTGAGAAGTACCAACCCACACTGCCCACAGGCCTTCTAACAGCACTCTGCCTTTCAGGCGCTTCCTGACTTCTCTGTGATGGGAATCTGCTGTAATTCCCAACTTCAGAGTTCTCTGAGGAGCTCACAGCAACCACAAATACCAGCCTTGAGTCATTTCAAGACAACAAAGAGGGCAAATTTGGTTTCTTGGCCATTAGTCTGACCCTGAGATAATTATAAAGTTTTACAGCAGGCAGTGGTGGTAAATAGAACAACACGCAAACAACTGAAGTCCAGCAGACAGTGTGGCAAGCTACTGAAACGAAAATGGAACCTTGGGTAGGCAGGTCTGCTCCACAGTGGCAACAGAGAACAAGAATGCAGTGTAAAAACACAGGGCCTGGAGTTGCTCCCCTTTCCACCGGCTATCCATGAGCACTAGACACAGTGTCCTAAAGACACTGGTCCCTGACAATCCCCAATTCAAGTCGAAGGAATGTCCCCCAACATTTCCATAGGGAAGCTAACTGCTCTAGAAGGAATGTGGCTCCAAAACTGTGCAGTGAGGAGTGCATGAGTGGTGTGCACAACACACACACGCACACACAACACACACACGCACACGGGATGGGGCTGGTTGGCACCTCTGGCAAGGACCTTGTCTAAACTAGCACGGAGGAAAAGCAGAAGTTCTGCAAGCACAGATGCTTGCTTCTCAAATACTGTTCCTTCTTTTTTTTCCCTGAGACAGGGTTTAGTCCTGGTTGTCCAGGAACTCACTCTGTAGACCAGGCTGGCCTCGAACTCACAGAGATCCATCTGGCTCTGCCTCCAGAGTGCGGGGATTAAAGGTATGCACCACCACTGCCCGGCCCTGTTCCTTTTTTTTTTTTTTTTGGTTTTTCGAGACAGGGTTTCTCTGTGTAGGGAGTGGACGTACCAGTGATTAAATCAGCATGC